CCATCCTGGACCCACCCGGACACAATAAGAGGAGCACATGGGCACACCGTTGCTGGCACATGCCCGTGTGTGCAGCTGTGCCTCACCTGGCGAGGTTCTGAGTATCCCAGAGGCCACTCCTCGGGTCCATCCACCACTCTTGGAGGCCCAATTCCTCTGTAGCGCAGAGGAAGACTAGCAAGGCGATTCCTAACTCCCCTGACTCCCGAGTGGACACAGAAGCCTCACTGGGGGGTGGTGTCAGGGGTGGAACATGAAGCTGTCAGTAGCAGATGTGCCCAGTGGCATCTGCAACATGTGAGCAGGCCCACAACCAGCCCAGGAAACCAGCCCCTTATCTACAGTAAGAGGCCCAGGGACCAGCCTGCTAGCAGTCAGACAAGCAGGAAGCTAGTACTAGCCCAGACCGCCCAACAATAACCCATCAACAATCAGCCCCAAGGGGCCAGGACTTGATAATAACTGACAGCTCCCCTACATTTTCTCCTGCTTCCGACCTGGGGCCAGCCAGAGAAAGGCCAATATGCTCCCATAACCAAGCGCACAGAGGCGCCCTGTCGTCAGCCCGCCTGCAGCTCCCCCAGGACAACAGCCTCCAGCCAGGCCCCGAAGTCTCCTTTTCTCCCAAAATAGAGCTTCCCCACTGCTCCGCCCCCTCTAGTCTCTGCCAAGACGCTAGGAGGTGGCTGACTCCCTTGTTACAGTAGACTCAGAAGAAATGGCCTTTGCTTTTCTCATCTGGTCTTAGCTTATTCCCATAGCTGACTTGATAAAACATTGGGCAAACTGACACAGCTACTCAATATCTGTCTTTGTTCCAGGGAAATCATACAGGGGAGGAGGAAGCAACTTCGTTTTGTCGGGGTGGTCTTCCCACTTTATTCCTTTAGAATAAAAGCTCAGCAGCTCCCCTCTGCTGTGCAGCCCGAAGGGAACTAGCCGGGAGGTAGAGTCGGGGAGACCCTGTGACGTTACCTCTAAACCTGAAGCCAGCGTGGAACTCACCACTTCTACCCAAGCTCCTCACCTGTGATTCTTGGTTCATCTTTTTTGAATTCACTCCAAGGGACATTTTCACTTTAAGGGCTACTTCTGGGCTGGTGGAACACCTTAGCTCAGGAGACACCCACATGACCAAAAAAATAAGTAAAAAGTCAGCTCCATTGGGAAGAAAAAAAAAGAGGAGAGGAGGAGGAGGAGAAAGGGAGAAAAGAAAAGAGTGTTTTCCTGTCTCTCAGGAGCTACAGCCCCTAGGATGACATCAGATGACCCTGGACAGATGGCTGTTTTGTTTGGCAGGAAATGATCACTTTATATCAAGTTTCCAAAAAGAGCTGATGCTGAGTGTTGCTACAGCAATGAAGTTCGAGACTGCAAATTAAGAAGCTCGTGTGAAGACCAGTGAGGACTGAGAAGGAACCAGTACCTCCCTCAAGCTGCCAACTGGGAAAGGTGGTTCCTGGGCAGAACAGTGTGCGGGGGTCGCCAGCAGCCCCAGAGGAAGCCCAGGGCCTCGTCCCGGAGGGGCATTCTAGCTACACGCAGACATTTAATTCAGCGGGGGAAGCCTTGACTCGAATAAGTGGATACCACTAAGAAAAAAGCCTGGGCAGTGGGTGCAATTCTTAAGGAAAAATATCCCCCAAAATGTTGAAAAGGAGAGATGGTCAGGAATAAAGCCATATGCCACTCCCAGGGACGA